TCAATCCTACTGACACGTCTTCCCATGAGGAAGCGACCCTGGGTCGGACTCTCCAATCTATGGTGCCAAGGTCACCGAGGTGCTTAAAAAGCTCCTCAGTGGCAGGGCGCCGGGGGTGGATGAGATTAGCCCGGAGTTCTTTAAGGCTCTGGATGTTGTGGGGTTGCATTGGTTGACACGACTCTGCAATATTGCATGGACATTGGGGGCAGTTCCCCTGGATTGGCAGACCGGGTTGGTGGTCCCCCTATTTAAAAAGGGGGAATGCAGAGTGTGTTCCAACTATAGGGGATCACACTTCTGAGCCTCCCTAGTAAGGTCTACTCAGGTGTCCTGGAGAGGTGGGTCCGTCYGATAGTCAAATCTCGGATTCAGGAAGAGCGGTGTGGTTTTTGTCCTGGTCATGTAACAGTGGACCAGCTCTACACCCTCTGCAGGGTCCTGGAGGGTGCATGGGAGTTCGCCCAACCACTCTCCATATGTGTTTTGTGGACTTGGAGAAGGCATTCGACCGTGTCCCTCGGGGACTCCTGTGGGGGGTACTCTGGGAGTATGGGGTACCAGGCCCATTGACACGGGCTGTTAGGTCCTTGTATGACCAGTGCCAGAGCTCTGTCTGCATTGCCGGTAGTAAGTCAGACTCGTTTCCGGTTAGAGTTGGAGTTCGCCAAGGTTGCCCTTTGTCACAGATTCTGTTCATAATTTTTATGGACAGAATTTCTAGGTGCAGCCAAGGTGCTGAGGGGATCCTTTTTGGTGACCTTAMGGTCACATCTCTGCTTTTTGTGGATGATGTGGTCCTGTTGGCTTCATCAGATCATGATCTCCAGCTTTCACTGGAGCGGTTCACAGCCGAGTGTGAAGCAGCCAGGATGAGGATCAGTGCTTCCAAATCCGAGACCATGGTCTTGAGCCGGAAACCAGTAGCTTGCCGCCTCTGGGRCGGGGAGGAGGTCCTGTCCCAAGTGGAGGAGTTTAAGTGTCTCGGGGTCTTTTTCATGAATGAGGCAAGAATGGAGCAGGAGATCGACAGGCGGATTGGTGCTGCATCTGCAGTGATGTGGGRGCTGTACCYGTCTGTCGTGGTAAAGCGGGAGCTGAGCCAGAAGGTGAAGCTCTCGATTTACCAGTCGGTCTACGTTCTWACCCTCATCTATGGTACCTACTACCATCTACCATCTATGGTCACGTAGATGGTAGTAGATAGATGGTAGTGACCGAAAGAACGAGATCACAGATATAAGCGGCCAAAATGAGTTTCCTTCGTAGGGTGTCTGGGCTCTCCCTTAGAGATAGGTTAACAAGCTCGGTCATCCAGGAGCTGCTGCTCCTTCACGTTGAGAGGAGCCAGTTGAGGTGGCTCGGGCATCTGGTTAGGATGCCTCCTGGATGCCTCCCTGGTGAGGTGTTCRGGGCATGACCCACTGGGAGGAGGCCCAGAGGAAGACACAGGACACGCTGGAGGGACTGTCTCTTGGCTGGCCTGGGAACTCCTTGGGATTCCCCCAGACGAGCTGGCCCAAGTTGCTGGGGAGAGGGAAGTCTGGGTCTCTCTYCATAGGCTGCTGCCCCCGCGACCCGATTCCGGAAAAYCAGCAGAAAATGGACGGACGGATGGAAATAAAGATGAAATAAAGAAAATGGCTTTGCTTTATTTACTGAAAGCAAGTGAATGTTGCCCTCATCAGATAATTAATTCACCATATAATTTAGAGGCTGTCTGTTCGGTGAGTTTTACCACTCCAGGAGTTGCGAGCTGACAAACTATTTTTTTGTCCCAAGCCCAGTTTAACACTGCAGTCAGTTTACTGAGCTGCTGACCCACATCGGTGCTGATGTCTTCCGCCAGGACACCAACTGCAGACGTTTAATTTCAGCTAAAGAGCTCCTGTCCATCTGTCTCAGGTTAGTGGGCAACATTCAGGAAACCGTCACGTGGAAAAATTAGTCTCTCTGATTGGTTGGCACAGCGCATCAAGCAGCAAAAGTTGAATATTTTGAACTCGAGCGTAGGCTGCTTTGGATGCGCTACATACACGGAAAATGCTCTACTGCACCTACCGCTACATTGCGCACCACGCTAAACTGGTTAAACATGCCACGCTGTTCCTTGACGCACATCCACCATAGACTTTGCATGTAAACTGGCTGCTTCAGCTGCTCAAAACGTGTCRGGTGTGWACCCGGCTTAAATGGTARACAAGAATTCTTTTCCTTTGACTGCTCAAAGCCAGGAAGTGCAAAAAGGTACCTAATTCAATGCCACAGGCATCACACAGACCATTGTCAGGAAGTCCCATCACCATTTTCACCATCACCAAGATTTGCATGAAACTCTCAAAGTAATCATTGGATATGCATCTACAACAGAATAGTTTTTGAAATCTCCCCTATGCAAGATGACAGCCACAACTAATTAACATTAGCAAACACAAAAACGGCTATACCTCAGGCAGTTTTACAGGCATTAAGCCAAAATGTAGTGTGTTAGTAGCTGAGACTGATTCCAAACACACATTTTTGATCACATAAGATCTGGTTTTAAATTTAACTACTAACTATTATCTCATGGACCACTGAACAATGATAATTATAATAATAATACTAATAATTATTATTYTTATTAGAGATGCACGATATATCGGTATTGATATCGGTATCGGCCGATATTGAAATTTTTTTTAGTTTAGGTTAGTTTAGTTTTTTAGTTTTCGTTTTTTTTAGAATATCGGTATTGGTCATAATAGATATTAATATTGACACTGCGTAACCAGGAATAACTGAAGTAGGGAGCAATGTCAGAGGTCTGGTCATTTATTTACAGTATCAAAAAAGACCCAAGTGTGTTTATGTATATATGTATACTATAATTTGTGMGTTTGTGTAATATCGGTAAATATATTACTAATTATCTAATTATAAATATCGGTTATCGGCCATAACAGCAATAATTATATCGGATATCGATATCGGCTGAAATTTTCATATCAGTGCATCCCTAGTAAATATGAATAAAAATAATAATAATCCTGAGTTGTAATTTGATGGTTGAAAGAGAGTATTAGTCTGGAGGAAGAATGGGCCTCATGCAAGAACATGTTCGTATTCTTATCTTAAATTTCTCTTACTTATGTTCGTACAAAGGGTTCGTATGAACATGCCACGTCAGATTCAACAAACATTTCTATCTTCAGGAAAAGTGTTTAAATGAGCTGCGTAAATTCCACCTGTTCGTATCCAGCTGCTCGTGCACGCGAGAGGAGATTAGCGTAATTACCAGCCCAAAAATACCATTTAAGGCTATGTTTCCTACGTCAGATACAGGGAAGTGTCCATTCATGAAAATGACAGCGAAAACTAAAAAGAAGAACTTTACGAGTTCAGAGATTGAAGACCGTCTGTCAGAGATCCAGAAAAGWAAATCTGTCATTTTTYGCAGGTCAGCTGTGGAATAAAATGAGCTGCTAATAGTATAAACAACTGTGTTAAATCATTTTCATTTATTCAGAAGCCACTGTTGCGAACCGTACCGTGGGAAGAAGAGTAAGAAAATGCTGTGTTTGGTGCTTAGGCAGACAAAGGGCACAGTGAGATGGCTTGAAGAAGAAGAACAGATGAATAGGCAGGTATGGTATAGGTATAGGTATGAATAGGTGACGTGCAGAAGATCAGACAGATAAGAAGGGCTGAGGTTGTGAATGGCCTTGAATGTGTGCAGCAGGATTGTAAACTGAATTCTGAACAGGACCGGAAGCCAGTGAAGTTTCTGTASAACTGGGGTAATGTGGGAAAAAGAGAGATTTGGCAGCTGAATTTTGGACCATTTGAAGCTTACGGAGGGGTTTGTGTGGCAGACCAAAGAAAGCAATAATCAACTCGAGAAATGACGGGACAATGTACCAGGATGGAAGCAGAGAGCAGGGAGAGGGATGGACAGAGTCAGTTGATGTTACAAAGGTGGAATCATGCACACTGGGTAATATTATGTGAGAGTGAAATGAGAGAGCTCTATGACATGACACTATTGACACAGACTCTACCTGAGGGAGGAACCAAAGAACTGTCAATATAAAGTAAAAAACAGATAGGATAGGGTGGATATAGTACTGATGAGTAAAAACTTAGTTTTATCTGTTTAATTAACTGGGATATTTTTTAGGCAGGAAGTGAGGGCGTAAGTGAAAAAGTTGATGCAGTGGGTAAGAAGAGTTGGGTGTTGTCAGCAAAGTAATGGAAATGGATTCTACATTTACATAAATTTTGCCATGGCAAAATATGTAGGTGATGTAAAGAAGGGGCCCAGGACAGAACCTTGGGGAACACCTGAAGTAATGGAGGAAGAGTGGGATCTAAACGATTTGAGTTGGGTGAACGGAGTGCAGCCAGAGATAATGATTGAAACCAAGTGAGGGGTGTGTGGGTGATGCCTTTGGATGACACTCTATGAAGAATGAWGTTGTGGGAGATTCTATCGAAGGCTGCACTCAGATCTAGGAGGATGAAGAGGGAATGGATTAAAACACTTTCAAAGTAATTATTGGATGTTCCTTTATCAATCAAATTACAAATTATATTTTTATATTCAGCCCAGTTTAAGATCGTCACTGTTTTAGCCAACACAAAATTGATTTAAAATGTTTTAGATTTGATTTAGTCATAAAATTGATTTACATGATGTGAAATATCCATCCATCCATTATCTATACCCGTTTATTCCTTTTCTAGGGTCACAGGTGCCCATATCCAGCAGTCACAGTGCGAGTGGCCGTACACCCTGGACAGGTCACAAGTCCATCACAGGGACACACAAACAACCATTCACACTCTCTCACACCTAGGGACAATTTAGAGTTGCCAATTAACCTAACAGTCGTGTTTTTGGTCTGTGGGAGGAAGCCAGAGTGGCCGGAGAGAACCCACGCATGCACGGACAGAACATGCAAACTCTACCCAGAAAGGTCCCTGGGCTGGGATTTGACCTGGCAACCTTCTTGCTGAGAGGCATCAGCTCTACCAACTGAGTCCAAATGTGAAATGCAAAAGCTAAATACCTTTGGAATGAAGAGCAGGACCAGTGTCACCGTGATGGTGACATGAGTGTGTGTGAAGGAGAGTAGCAGCATCCAGTCAGGATGGAGAGACTGAAAGGTGAACCTGGAGGCAGAAAAAACAACAATCACCCAACATTTTGTTTCTGTGTGATTCAAAATATACAGTCTTAATTGCTGAAGGTGTTGCTCAAGCAAAAGTGATGAACTTTTCTGGATTGSAAAGGCTTTGGTTACCGAAACAAATGGAACATAGATGAGAGAAACAGCTCGTTGTGGATGGCAATGCCCATGTAGCGAGGTTCATGGAAGGCTGAGGGGACAGGCCTGACAGCCGTCCACAGGGAGCTGCCCCAGCACAGGAACAGGAGTTCAGCTGAGGCAGAAGGAAGTACTGAAATGAGTGGTGGTCACACAAGTTCAAAGAATCATGTTTGTTATATTCAATTATTACTGGTTTGAAAAATACAGACCACTATTCAAGGTAGTCACCCGCTTCAGATGTTATCATCCATGAAATGGATCCGTCCCATYGAATGGCTTCTGATTGTCAGCTGGTTAGTATGAGGCATAAAACCACTTTCTGGTTAACATGAGGCATAAAACCACTAACTGGTTAATATGAGGCATAAAACCACTATCTGGTTAACATGAGACATAAAACCACTATCTGGTTAAAATGAGGCATAAAACCACTATCTGGTTAATATGAGGCATGAACCACTATCTGGTTAGTATGAGGCATAAAACCACTATCTGGTTAATGAGGCGTAAAACCACTATCTGGTTAGTATGAGGCATAAAACCACTATCTGGTTAATATGAGGCATAAAACCACTATCTAGTTAATATGAGACATAAAACCACTATCTGGTTAACATGAGGCTTAAAAATAACTGGTTAATATGAGGCTTAAATCCACTAAGGTTAACTTTAGAGCAAATGACATGGTTAGCACTAAAGACACCACCCTCCAACGGTTGTATATTGTGGCGTTCCAATAGGGCAATGGGTAGAGTGCCAGACCAGGGCTGGAGACCGACATGGACACGGACACAAAAATTTTATTACATTAACCCACTAGGGGGCACTYTRGGGACAGTCTGAAGCCTAGAAGGCGCAGTAGGGACCCTCTCAAGCCATTGTATGGGACTGATAACGCCTAATAACGTCCATTTCATGGACTGATAACATCAGAATCCCCTGAGGTAGTCTTCAATACAGCCTAAAAGAACACAAAATCAAAGCTAAAATCTTGTTCTTTTAATGCACTACTTTGATTTCCTGTAGAGAGATWCATTTGACCTGTTTGAAAAGGTAATCTGAGTAAAATTCTGAATGATTAAATTCATTGTTAATATAGAGAGATTTTTTAAAGGTCATCAGTTTGAAGAATTAGAGATTACATCTAAAAAGGTCTGATAAGCTAACTGCTAGTCCGAATAATAAAAAAAGACCAACGATAGCCCACTTTTGTTCACTATCTTCTTAGAACCTTTACCTATTAAGATTAGAGAAGACTCCAGAATCAAGGGTTTGATTAGAGGGGGAAGAGAACACAAATTATTTTATATGCAGATGATATTTTGTTTATGTGTCAAAATCAGGCTAATTCTGTAACGGCATTGTTGGAAGTTATTGAGGATTTCTCCAAATTATCAGGTTATAAAGTTAATTGGCATAAATCAGAGGCAATGCCAGTCTCATAGACCTGTAGTGCTAGTTCAATAACAGCCTTCAAATTTAAATGGTTACACAAAGGGCTGAAATATTTGGGAATAGTACTTAATCCAAACCTAGAGGAAATTATGCGGGACATTATGGAAAATTTGCTCACTAAGATTAAGACTAACTTGGATAATTGGAGCAAGCTTCAGTTGACATTATGGGGTAAAATAAATATAATAAAGAGGAGTATAGCTCATTTGATTAATTATTATACTGGAATGATACCAATATGTATTCTCCCACAAATTATTTTAAGATAAAATATGATAAAAGATTTTCTTTGGAAAGGTGGCAAATCTCGTATTAGCATTAGTAGATTGAATCAACCAAAAAAGGAAGGAGGATTAGCCTCACCCAGTATAGAACATTATAGTATCTCATTTGGATTGTCTAAGTTATGTAAACACTGGTCAAAGACAAAAACTGATTTAGACTGGGTTCTAATTGAGCAAGAACTTACCTCCGCATTTACCCCTATTGAAGTATTAACCCAAAAACTAGAAAACAATGGGAATAGGCAAGACAAGCATATTTTATTGTTCTCAGAAAAGGTTTGGCAAGAGGTACACAAGAAATTTAACATCTCTCCATATTTCCAAAAATACTCATCCCTGTGATATAACCCCAATATTAAAATTGGTAAACAAACAATTTATTGGCCACAATGGTTGAAAAAAGATATAAGAATTGTTGGTGATCTATATGAAGAGGATATATTTTTTATTATACAATGGGTTTATGGAAAAGTTTAAACTGGAAGGTAATAATCATTTTTGTTTACAAATCAGAGATTATATTAAAGATAGAATGAAGTTTCCTCAGGAGAAAAATCCATTCTGTCATCTTTGCAGCCAAGTCTCACATTTTTAAAGCCACTACTAAATTTTCCAAAACGTCTCAGTTCCTTCTCCAGCACCTCGTTAGGAATAAAAGGTGGAACACAGTGATACATGTCGCAGGTGCGAAAAGGGGAGCGACTGTCAGAAACAAATGATCCAGCACAACTCCATTTTCAACAATCTGGTGAACCAGACGCTCTTCTCTGAGAAAAACCACCACTGCTTTATTCATCTGCGAGCTATAAATAATATTATCATGCCCCACCTGTTCACCTACAACCAGGAGAACTTGTTCCACTGTGTAACGTAGATCAGCCACAATTCTGATACCATGACTAATTGACAGGCCTGGCAAACCCTCAGCAGAGAGGGACGCCATTATGCCTAGAAACTGTTTTAATCCAGATGTGAAATGATTTGGAATTGAGTGATTCCATATTTTTTTCACTGTGCTTGGTCAATAAAAGTTACATTCACTGACTTCCACAATGCTTTCTCTTCATTTCTTTGAGTGTTCCTGAAAACCAACAAGTTGCACATGACCTTGTTATTGTATCATGTTTTTGATCTGAGTTTGTTTTACAGAATGAAATGTCTGAATGAGTGTTCATCCAAGACTGCTGATTCCATACATTTTGCCAGGGGTTGTAGTACCCCATATCTGCACAAAGACCCACCTCCACGAATCAGATTCAAAGAAACAGGAGGTCTGAGAAGTCGAGACCAATCTCCAGACCCATCAGGTCGATGGAGCAGAGGCCAGTCCCCTTCACCTGATCGAGGAGGGGCTTTAGGCCCTCCAGGTGGGAAAAGAGCTGATCGTGATTCATCACAAAGCAGGTATGATGCTTCTGAAAATCAAGAAAGGTCTCAAAATCAGTATCCTCCTTCTGATCGTGAACTCCATAAAATTGCGAGGAACATTACTCGTTTCGAACTAGGCCCAACAGGCTCATATGAAACAAGAGCCTATCTAAAGGACATTGATTATTATCTCAAAAGCTACCCAAATGCTACTACAGAGAATAAACTTTACCTAATAAGACTTACATTGAGCAGAAAGGTAAGCACTTTTGTTGACCGCCAACCAGAAATGGTCAGGAAAAACTACTACTTTCTGTGTGAGGTCTTAGAAAGAGAGTATGAGCCTAATGCAGGGCCCCCTGGCTACCCATCAGCCAAACACATAAAACAAGGTCAAAATGAACATCCCCATGAATATTATTACAAGGTTTTGCAGGCTTATTTTGGTAACAGAAATGAGCCGTTCATGGAGGAAGATGCAGGTTTTAAATACCTCTTTATCCAAAACCTTCACGAAGACACAAGTGCTCAACTTAGCCTTCTCGCTAATTAGTGCGTRAGTAACATGCAACAATTGAGAGATTGGGCTGTCTCTGCTTTTGAAAAGCTAAAAACGACTAAAACACAACCAGTAGACTTCTTGGGAACTGGTAAATCCTCACCTTTAGAATTGGAAGGAGCTCAAGCAGAGTCTCCTCCTCCTAAAAAGAGTAAAAAAGAAACAAAACTTTCAACCCAAAAATCCCAAAATAAAGGTGCTAACTGGAACCAAAAACAGAAATGGGGTGATAGAGAACAAAAAAGGGACTACAGACCTCAACAGTGGGGTCCACATCCTAAAAACAAACAAGATAGGGGGTACCAGCGTTACCTTAACAACCGCGGGTGGTCTCAAAAGAGAAACCACAATACCAAGACTCAGCCCCTCCCTCACCAAGGGGAGAATGGTCTGAAAAAGGTAAAAATCCACTAAAGCCCCCCAGAAAAAAGTAAACAACTCCAACTTTCTGAGTGCAGAAGAGATGGAGAAAGTACGTTGTTTGTTAGAAAACATGGCAAAGAAAAAAATAATGATGATCTACCTGAAGTAGGGTGTATCGACTTGGTACAGACGGACTCAATGTGTGAATCAGACACTGACGTCATCTCCTTGGAAAAAAGGGGGGTAGACTCAGACATGAATGGTGCTGTGTTGACGGTTCGGACAGACCAAGACGACGTACAGACTGACCAACATAACAAGAAAATCTGGGTGAAGCCTACTGACATGGAATTTCTTGGTGACCTAACCAAAAAGGGGGTCGCAAACAAATTTTGTCTGTCACTCACACTAGAGAAGGAACTCACACATAAGGCTSTCCTAAACACAGGATCTGACATAACAATTATGTCAGTCAAATTGTTTGAGAAGCTGCGTGTAGCCGCTAAACGTGCAAACAGAAAACTCGATGTGCCAATCTGTGAAAGAAAATTATCTTACCACTAGATGGCAGTAAAGTGCTGACTTGTCTCTTACCTGAATGTTTTCTGGTAAACGGGGTTAATCTTGGGCTTTATTTTTAGCTTCCACTAAGTTTTATTGATCATATGTGCTTTTGAACTTGCGGACCTAAATGAATTGACTAGCACTTTAGAAACTGTGCTACTAAAATTTGAATTAGCGCTGTCCACTACTGTCAATTATTTTCAAGTTTGGTCCACCAATTTAGAATTGACTCATGTAATAGGTGTATGATTTCATCTGATCATGTACAATTTTTTTAAAGATATGGCAAAATTCCTGTTTAGCTAGCTTGACTAAGCTATTTGCCTATGCACAACTCAAACTATTTAAAGTGTAACACCCCAAAATTATCTTTTTTAGCTGATAAACTATCTGTCTAAAAGATTATTTAATACTATTTCTGTGCTAATTTGGACATTTTTTATGTACTTGATCAAATCTGCAATATTTGGTCTAAAAAAGTCTTTATATTGCATACTATGGGTAGAGCAGTGGTACTGC